AGGAAAAGTTGTGTGTGTATGCCCATGAAAACCCCCCACCCACCGGCTGGGTGCGAACGTGGTGGGTGGGCAGCCCTTGGCTGCTGGCAGCGCAGCAGATGGCTCCGAGGCTGGTGAGCAGGGACAACAGGAGAGGGCTGGTGGGATCCATTGTGGTCAGGGAGGTCAAGTCTTCTCCTGTCCACCTGCTTGGGGTTGTGTGCAGCACTGGTCTTTGAGGTGAAAATGAATTTGCTGGTGATTTTTGGATGGTTTCGGGAGGCTCAGTGGTTGTAATCTCTGTGGATAAGCAGGTTTTGCTTTGTTTGCCCTCTTCCAGTCTAGCTAGACACCCCAAGTTCAGCCTGGCTTGTGAGTGCTGCTTCTCTTCCGCAGCCAAGGAGCGTTGGAGGTGCAGAAAACAAAATGATAATTAGCCAGACCTCAAAGGGAAAGTGAGAATATTCCCTAACAGGGTATGAGATCCCAAACTAGAAGAGTGGAGAGCAGGTTGCAGGCAGTAAAGATCATAAAAGATGTGGGAGTGGAAAAAACCTTGCCTGGTCCTCATGGAGAAGCAGAGCTCCAGCGCTGAGCCTGTGCGAACTGCCATCCTCCATCCCATTCGCATCTTTTTAAAAGATTTTTCTCTTGCAGCTCTAGAGGACAAATTAAATGTAGCCGAGTTTATTAATTTTGCCAGTGCCTGGAATAACTTTGATGCCTTTGGCGTGCTCCGTCCTGGGCAGACCTGACCTGCTCTCCATGCAGGGTGCATCGGGCACCTACGTGTGCTGCTGGGACCCCAAATGCTCAGCAAATGATTGCTTCCCTGGCCTCCAGCTAGTCTGAGTCCTCATCATTAGCAGAGGTTGTTTTGTGGGGTTATTTAAAATGCTTTCCATGACTTTGAAATGCTGCTTGGTTTTCGGATGCTCTTCTCCCTTGGGCTGGCTGGCGTCCTGTTTGAGCTCGGTGCAGCCAGCCTGATGGATGGAAACTCGAGTGAACTTCACCTAGATCAAGCGGTTGCTTGGATCGTGTCAGGCCTCCAAGCACATTGTTGCTTTCTATTCAAAAAAGAGGGAAAAAACCCTGTTCTCTGACAATAATGCGATGTTTTGGGCGAGCAGTGTCTGCCATCCCGAACACAGCTCGGAACTGTGGTGTGTGTACCACCAGCACCATGACGGACGCTTCAAAGCCATACATCTCCATCCCAATGCATTTGATGCTGGCTGGGGAGCGTTGTGTGCATTTCTCCTCTGCAAGCTTGCTCCCTGTGGATGTGGTTTCAGATGGGCTGGGGGTCCAGCCCCTTCATTGCCACACCTGTAGAGAGAGGTCCATGGGAAACCAGAGGAAGAGGGTGCTTGGGAAGCCTGGGCCATGCTCCCAGGGCACGTCTTGTGATTTTCTTTCTGCTTGTTTCTTTACTGCCCTGCTATCAACAGTGATAGCTGCATTTTCCAGAGTAGAGGGCACTGAGGCACCTTGCTGCGGCTGATGATGGGTGGGAACAGAGTGGGTCAGTCCTTCAAGGGGCTGTTGAGAAGCACTGTCCAGCTCTTGGGAAAGACGACGTTGGTGTTGGGCTTCTGATCAAGTGATTTTGCAGAGTTACTCTTCAGGCTGTCAGCGGTATCTCCAAGCCGTGTGGCTGCCATGGTGGGATCTGAGCAGTCCTGGCTTCCTCTGGCCTTGAGCCTTCATGCAGACCCAGCCACCAGTGGGAGGAAGCTGGGAGAGATGAAGTAGTTTCCCTTGGCGTGTGCTCCAAAGGAGACAGAGGAGGAGGAATAACCTTCTCCTGAGGATGAACGTCCCTTGGGTTGGGCAAAAGTGGATTAATGAATCTGTTAAAGGAGGGTGAAATACAGGTTGTATAAGCTCCTGCACAGTTGCTGTTTCCAGACACCATAGCTTAGATTTAGGGGAATTAAGCCTTTATGGTTTTCACCCTTGTATCATAAATCACAGAACAGTTTGGGTTGGAAGGGACCTTAAAGACCATCCAGTCCCACCCCCTGCCATGGGCAGGGACACCTCCCACTAGCCCAGGTTGCTCAAAGCCTCATCCAGCCTGGCCTTGAACCCCTCCAGTGCATCTTTAGTCCTTCCTTTTCCTGCACCCACAAGAGACCATGGTCTGCGGTTTCATCCTTAGTTAGTGCTTGTCTTGTCTTGCAGGTTTCGCTCACGCTGGAGGATAGAACCCAGTAGAGGAGTGATCCCCCCTGAGACCGAAGTGTCTGTGGCTGTCATAGCAAACTTGAACGACACCGACAGATTCAAGGACAAGGTGAAGGTGTTCATAGAGAACAGCCATACCTGCGTCATCCCCGTCCGGGCTGTCGGCATTGGCACCACCATTGTCACCGACAAACCCTTTGCTCCAGAGCTCAACTTGGGAACCCACTTCAGGTAGGATCTCTCTCAGCTCCTGCTTCTCCCATGGGCTCAGCCGGGAGGAGTTATGCTCTATTCCTACAGGCTGGTTCTCCTGCAGTGCTCGAGGTCCCAGCTCTGTTTCACTGAAGCCACAGGGATTCCTTTAGAAACATTTTAACGGCCATTGGAAAGTCATTAGATACACTCAAAAGCCACCGAAATGGACACCAGTTGCTAAATTGTCCCTGAATTGCCGTCAGTTATAATACATTTATTTCCCCACTTAATCAAATAAAGACTTGCAGGAAAACAGCAGGTCCTGGAAGCCTCCAGCTGGAAAACGCTACATTACAAGTATAAACATATTTCCCTCTGCAATAACATTGCTTGCTTTTCTACTCACTACGGAGCATCATCTCGCAACAGTGGAAAACCTTGGCAGTAGCTTGTTAGCGACTCCTCGACTAAATTAATGGTGCTGGTTTACTTCCCCTCTGCCCAGGAGTCCTGGTGGAGCAGCAGAATTTGTCTTTGCCCTGTATCATCCCTCAGGCTGCTTGTCTTCCCCGGCTCCCCTGCCGAGCTGCTCTTTATTACACAGACTCGCTCTTTTCTCCCGCTTTCCTCGCCGGCTCCTCCAGCAACGCCACAGAGGCAGCCCGAGGGACGGGCGAGCAAGGGGGGCTGCAGGACCGGCTCTGAAAGGAGAGGAGGAGAAGTCTGGTGAAGTCGGGCGGGATAAATTGAGAGTGTTAGTTGAAAGAGCTTAGCTCAAAGGAGGGGATTCAGTGTGTGTCTGAAACCAGGCATGTCCTTACAAGTGGGAGAAAAATAAGACAAGTGTTGTTCGTCTTGTGGTGGAGACCTCTTGGGGTGAGAAGAATAGTCTTCTTGAGGTGCTTGTTCCTTTCCCTGGCTGCAGAGAGGGTCCACAGTGCTCCAGTACATAAATTTTGGGGTAGAAAGAGCAGGTTAATCCTACTTGAGGCATTTAGGGTAGATTTTGCGGGTTTAAATGTGCACCCCCAAGCCATCCAGCTAAGCAGGGACGCTGCGGGGAGGCTGGTGCTTGCCCAGTGTTTCCTGTGCTCTGTGCAGCCACAAATCGGCTACACAACGCAGGGGCCAAGACCAGGCTCTGCTTGGAGTTGCTGTTGGCTGCAGAGCTGCCGCTGGTGAGCTGAGCTGGGACCCCAGTAACATCTCAGGCCAGCTGGGCTTTCCCAGAGCTGCATCTGTTGCTGTCTCCAGCATAAACCATTTCACACTGAACTGGTATACATCCTTTCTGAGCAGCGTGTTGCTGTGTTCTGTACTGTCACTTCTGTGTTTGTGTTTGGCTGCTGAGGGGGACGTGCATTTTGCGAGACACATGTACCTTTCGAAAAGACAACAACTGTTCCAGGAGCAATTCATTTCCTGGTCATGCTTGGATGGATGAGATTTTTAGCCTGCAGTTAGTGTTTCTTTACATGAAGGAATCGATATCCATTCAATATTTCTGCCCAGAGAAGCTGTGGATGCCCCATCCCTGGAGGGGTTCAAGGCCAGGCTGGATGAGGCTTTGGGCAACCTGGGCTAGTGGGAGGGGTCCCTGCCCATGGCAGGGGGTTGGAACTACATGACCTTTAAGGTCCCTTCCAACCCAGACCATTCTGTGATTGGGTTAATTTTGTTTTGTATCTATCTCTAGTTGTTCCTCTCTTGTTGTCGCTCCATCCCCTCAGCAGCCAGGCCTGCTCTTGCCGCCATGTTCGTATTGGGGAAAGTTCTGTTGATCCCGTGTTCTCACAGTGCCTTTATCTTCCTAAAACACCAAACCAGCTGCGCTGCTCAGGCAAAGGGTGATATGTTGGGGACAGTGAGGGCTGGGTGCTCCCTAAGGGATGAGGGACATGGGTGACAGGGCGGGGGCCCCACCAGCAAGGCAAGTGGTGCCCAGATCGTCAGGTCTGTCTGCCCTGCAGCTCCCCAGCAGCATCTTCAGAGGAGCCATCTGAGGGAGCAGCTCCCGAGGGGAAGGTGAAATGGCAGCGAGGCTGTTCCTCTGCCCCCCTGCAGCCAGGACAGGCCAGCTTAGCATCCCATGCAGCCAGACCTGCAGGAAGCACCTTGGAAAGATGCTCTGATTGAGCACTGAGGGCTGGTGATGCTCCAGTGCAGCAGCTGAGATGTTCTTCATGAAGCTTTTCCTTCCTTTATGCAAACAGACCAGCTGCTGGGTTGTGATAAACTTGGGGGCAGCCAAAGTCTGGCTCTTGCTGGAGCTTTGAGCTAGGTCAGGCTTTCGGCGGTGGCTTTACTGGTG